ATGATTTGATGGGATTTGGAGAAGATTGGGAGAGGCGGCTAGGGTTTCTGAAGGAGGGAGAATGAGAGATGAGAGAATACAGAGGCGGCTGGGCGGGGGATTTGTCTCTAGGGTTTGGGACGAGGATTATAAAGAGAAGGGTTGGTTTATTGTGGGTCGTTGATCTCTGGCCCGGATTAAAAGAAGTCGGGGCGGGTCAAGAAAATGGGTTCCGACCCGGTTAAGTCAATGGGGTTGTTTGGTTTGGGCTGCTGAAGAGTAAAATGAGGTGGGCAAAGTGTTTGGGCCTGATTTGGTTCGAAAATTAGCCCTATATTGGGCTATAAGTTAATTATACGAAATTTATTTAAAATAATTTATAAATAATAAAATTATTACTTATGCAGTAAAATGATTAAAATAATAGCTTAACATTATAAAAATATTATTTTAGCATAAACAATGTAATAAATGTAATTATGTATAGAATGTAGGCTATTATTGCAAAACTGCGTAAATAGCTCAAAAATACAAATGTAATTATATGAAATGAAATAAAAATGTTATCAAAATATATATATATGAAATGTAATAAAAATATATATATATATATATATATATATATATACACACACACACACACACACACACGCAACACTACATCTTAAGTTTTNTATATATATATATATATGTGTGTGTGTGTGTGGGTGTAAATAATAAATCTGGATGATTAAGTCATCACAAAATAGTTTGAAAGAATAATTTAAAAAATATTTGAATAATTTAAATGCAAGAAAATCAATTTTAAAGCTTTTAAAATTATGAAAAATTATAGAAAAGACTTATATGAATTTTGTAAATTAGGTAATGATGCAAAATGATATTTTGAAAGTATATATAATATTTTAAAAAAATGAAGACAAAATTGGGTATCAACAACGTGAATCTTGGGTCGTGACATCAAATCCTAAATATAACGTTATAATACTTTTTTTAATCCCCTTACATAAATTCGTGATTTCCCACCATGGTTGCTTCTTCAAATTTTTCGTTTAGGTGTTCAATTCTCTGGAGACATACTTTTTATTTCTTCACTACCATAAAATACCCTGACACTGCCATTTTTTTTATTATGATCCTCTTTTTAATGCAATTTCTTATTTTGAATTTTGTGATCACTATCAATTTTGGCAGCTTCACTGATACTAGGGTTCAACTCAATGGAGCTGAAAAGAGCGGTGGAAGAGGTTGATTTTTGGTAGGTAGATGTGTTTGATGTGAATAAGAAGATGGTTCTATTGCATTTAACTGGCCGGTACTGAACCTGAACGGAGTTGGAAGTGTATTCAGTGGTCACTTGAGCTACAATACCTGGGACTAGCGATACTAAGTTTACAGGTGCTTCATTTGGATTCTATCATTAGTTTTAGATTCATTTTTCATTTGAATCGAACTTTCTAAGAATTTTTAATATAAAAATTTTGACACTCTCATAAGCTTTATAATTAGGGCTCAGCTTAACGCTCCCAATCCATCATTTGATTCTTCTTGTAATACTCATACCCTCTAATCGGTTTCTAACTTTTTTCTGGTTCTTTCATAAAATGCGATCTCAGTTTATATATTATATTTTACGTAATACTAGCTAACTAATCACTTGAATTGGATCAATATCATTAATTAAAGCTTGTGATTGGTTATCATATAAACAACTATTTTTAAAAGGAATGACTATAGATAACTTCATAAGATTACTTCTTAATTACATATTTAGGTAATTGTAAAAAGTCTCCATAATCGAAATTATATAGGTAAGCAATTAAATTATTTACTTTTTTACTACAGATCAAACAAAGCAATAAACTTATTTGTAAAATAAAATATGACATACATTTATTTTAATTTAGAGGATCTGAGTACTATATCAATTTACCACTTAAACTCAACATGCATATCCTCTAAACGTTAGAATTCTGAAAATAATAATAATAATACAGTATTTATGTAATTCGGACAAAAGTGCAGTATTCCTAAGACTCATATATCACTCGCTCGTTTCATTTGTTTGGTAGTGTGTCAATAAGTAAGATTATTCAACATAATGGCCGCATTTTGCCTTTTTGTTCGGCTATAATTTGTAAATGCAGAATAGCTCGCGACCCCCTGAAATTGACGAGTTTTATTCAATTTACATCTGAACTGTACATTGGCTTAATTACTCTCTGAACTTGGTAATTTGAAGTCTGGACCCCTGGACGTTGATGTGGCAAAGACGGTGAAAGCACTCTCTTTTAGGCGCACGAAAGCGGGAAACAAAAATCAAGTTCCGAGTAGGATATTTTCCAGCTATTAATTGTCATATAATCTAATACAATAATTTATTATTCTAATTTTTTTCTCCTTAATATACGTTTCATGTCAATTTATTTTAATTATGTATTTTTTCCAGGTCAATCTGCAAAACTTCATTGAAACTCCGTTATTTTAGCCAAATAAAAAAAAGATTTAGCCAAAGTAATAGAGTTCAAACAATGTATTTTCTAGAGAAGAAAAAACAATATGTGTTCTTCTTTTCATGCAACAGCTATTTACTTTTTTGGGTCAAATTTGTAAATCATTTGCTTGGAAATTCTTTATTTTTAGCCAAACTTTTTTAGCCAAAATAATGGAGTTTCAACTTGCGTATCTCTTTTTATTCTTCTTAATATGCAATGATTATTTTTTCTAATTGCGTATTTTGTATTTTTTTTTGGATAAAATATAAAAATAACTTGATTAGAATATTATTATCTTTAACCAAATAAAAATAATTGGAGCCACAATGACATTGTTCCAATTTTATTTTATTTTCATATTTGGCCAAAAATCGATGATCCAAATAATTGATGGATTTAAAAATATAGAAAATATATATTATTCAAAAAATGCCTTGTGGCCAAAATTTTCACGTGACAATGCGTATGTCATACTTTCATGGATTGTCCGTGTTCGGGGGTTAAGTCTATCAAATTGTCAAGTTCAGGAGGGACAATTAGCCCAATGTAAGATTCAAATATGCATTGAATAAATGTCGTCAAGTTGAGCAGGGTACGAATCGATCTGCTATGTAATTGTAGTAATAGAATATTTTTGGTGATAACCCTCCCTTTATTTGAAGTACACATCCATCATTTGGTTCTATTTGTATTCTACACTCTCGCCCCCCTAATCGGTTTTTAACTTCTTTTCTTCAATTCATAAAAGAAGGCACGAAGCTAGCGTGTTTTTATAAAATTACTTATCTATGTATTCCACCCCTTCCTCTTTTGTGAAACTGCAACTATTACCAAAATATGCAATTTCCGGTTGAATTATATTACCTAATACGTACTAGCTAGCTAATCAGTTGAATTAGATCCGTTTCAATTAAAATTGGTAATTGGTTATCAATAAGCAAATTACTTTCTAAAAGGAATGCCAATAGATTACTTTAATAAGGTTACTTCTTAAACACATACTTAAGTAATTGTAAGAAATATCTAAATTAAATAAGTAAGTAATTAAGTTATCTACTTTTTAAAATCATTCAAAGAAAGTAATAAACTTATATGTAAAATTAAATTATTAGTTGTACATTTATTTTCGAAGATTTGAGAACCATAACATTCTACCACTTGATTAAAGTCACCATGCTCTAAACCTCTAAACGTTAGAATCCTGAACAAACAATGGTAATTAATATAGAAATATTTATCTAATTCTGACAAAAAAGTGTTGTATTTCTAGCAATAAAGAAGATTATTCTTGATACATACATGAAATAAGATTTTATTTAAAGAAGAAAGAGTAACAATTTTTAATCACTTAACTACAAATCTCGGAAAATGTATGCAACCTTTTATTCAATTTATTGGTGGAATTTTTTTTTTTTTTTTAAAGGAATTGAAGAAGGAAAAAATGATAATTATTCAGTGTCCCAGTGATACTGATTACACAGATAGTAAGCCAGAAATAGTAAGTACGTCAAAACATTTGAACAGAAATAACCGTTAGAACCCAAAGAAAATCTAATACACAAAATCTCGTTTAAATTTTGTCTTCATACCTCTTCTCAACAATGGCGCCTCTTCGAAATGTTATTTCATCATCAATAGTCACAATAGTAACGCTTCATCTCTTTATCTATATAAACTCTGCATCCAAAATCCATTTTTCATATAAAAAAGAAAAGGGCAAAATAAAAATCAAAGATTACAAATGGATCGTCTTTCTTCTTCATTACCCCCTTTATACGATCACCTTTTTTCTCCAATCTCAGATGAAGATTTCAAACTCTTTTACTCAACTGATCGCAGACTTTACGCGAAATTGATCAACCTTTTAGGTCGTGACCCTACTGAATCCATGCAAATCATGGCATTTTTCCAATGGCTTGAAGTAGTTGGGAAGGACTGGTCCTTTATGAGGAAGATTTATGATTTTCCATTCCCGTTGTTGAACGTGGCCGCGGAGGAGGCCTTAACGTGCCTAAAATGTGTGGAGGATGACAACTTCAGTACTGAAAATGTTTCTCAGGAAATATTCTTGATTCCAAAATTGTTGAACCCCAAATTCACTCTCAAATACATTCATGAGAATCGGGCAAGCGCCATTCGTGGGGTCACGAAATTCTTTAAGACAGTTTGTCTTAGGGCTTTCGATGATATAGTGCAACATCCAAAATATTTTACTAGGGAAAATTTGGTATCACCAAATGTTTTAGAAGAAATAGGAAGTAGTAGTAGAATGGTGCCAATTATCAATCCTAGTCATGTCCCAAGTCATGTTGGTGGTGTTTTCTTAGAGTCTATGCATAGTCAAGAGAACAAGGAAAAAATGGGAATTAACAGTACAAGAATGATGCCAATTCTCAACCCTAGCCATGTCCCAAGTGGTGGTGGTATTTTTGTAGAGCCTATGCATAGTGAGAACATTGAAGAAATAGGAAGGGCTACTAATAGAATGGTTCCAATTAACCCTAGTAGCCATGTCCCAAGTGGTAGTGGTGTTGTTTTAGGTTTGCCTCTTTTAGTTCCTACTAATCAAATACAATATATGCCACAACCATTTCTTGGAGGAAACTTGAATTTGCCTAATTATGGACTTTTCTCTCATGTGAATGCTTCAAATATTGGTAGTGGAATTCATCAAATGTTGCCTAATTATCATCATGAATTTGGTGCACATGAGGAAGGCACGCCTCCGGCTATGCACAAAGATATAGCAGAATTGTTGAAGAACAGTTTGAAAATTCATGCTGAAGAAGAGAAAGAAGTCCCTCCTGATGCTAGGACTGTGTTTTTGACTTTCTCCAAAGGCTATCCAATTACAGAAACTGAAGTCGTAGAGTTCTTCACCAGGTAAAGTCTCTTTTCTTCTTTTTTTCCTCTTCTGAATAATTTCCTTTAGATTTGGTTCCCTTATTCTTTCATTTATTTATTTGGTTTATTTATTTATTTATTTATGTTTATCAACTAGTAGTATATAGATGAATCTTAATACGAAATTTTCCACCTTTTGCATCTCAATACATAAAGTGTCAATCTAGTAAAACACTAAACTTGATTGCTCTCCCTACCAGAACCGAAGAACTCATTTAATTTGGCTAGAAAAAGATGCACATATCCCTCTTTTAAGGTTAAAATCCATGAAATACACTAGAGCGCATCCTTTTAATAGGATGAGTACAACCATTCTACCGATCGAACAATCTTAAAGAGGCAAAGCAACATGGCCACATGAAGGGGTTTCTATTAAGAATTTAGCTTGTATACACTGAATTTTTACACGATTAGTGTTGATATAACATTTATACCTTCTCGGTCTTTTGGTTAAGATCAAGTGTCGTATTTGTTTTTAATTATCAGTTTAATATTTGATACGTAGGTCATCGACTCACATGATATTAACTCAATTCTTTTTGGAGGGGAAAGTCCACCACGGTACCTTGCTTTCGGGGCTTTCAAGTGTTGTCTTGGTGTTGCACTATAGCCTTGGCCCGACACACCCCACAAAAAAATATATATATATATATATATATATATATATATATATGCTATAGAAGGTTACTTGTCTTAATTTTCAGGTTAATAAAAACTTTACAAAGTTAGTATGGGGTCAAATGGTTTTGTAGCCCATTACAAACTTATTTTTATTTTTATGACTCTATTTTTTTTTTAACACATGAGAGATTTGCTTTTACACATGAGAGATTTGAAAAAGACGTTTTCTTAAATTTAACATTGTAAAAAGCCATGAAGGCCCATTACTTGTTAGTTATGTATGGAAACAAAAATATTTCTTAATAGAGATATACTTGNTATATATATTATGCTTAATTAATACTTGGTGATGGCTGGTAGGAAATTTGGGGAGGATGTTGAAGCTATTTACATGCAAGAGGTTTCGGATGATGAGCAACCACTGTACGCACGCCTTGTAACTCGCTCTCTTGCTGCACTTGAGGCTATTGTAGATGGTGGAAAAGCTAAGTACAACATCAATGGGAAGCATGTTTGGGCACGAAAATATGTGAAAAAGCCAAATCCAAAGAACCAGCTTTCGCAATTTGAGCTTTATGAGGGACAAACCAGTTCACCAGTTGCATCCACTTCAGAGTTCTCTTAGATCGATGCGCAGTCTGCTTTATATGTGCTTAATTACTTGATGTGTGGGTTGTTGTTGTTTTAGTAAAAGGTGTCATGTTGTTATATTACTATTATTTTTTACTTGGATGTTTCGTGGATTTTAGTTTGATTATATATGATTTTGCTTAAACTGGATGTTTTGCTGTGTTCAAGATTTGAATAATATATAAGAACTTCTCTGTTGTTAGAAACATTGTCCTTTCATGTTAACCCAAGATTTAGTTTAATACACTTTGTAAATTACACTATCAAATCATCTTTACCTATTTTATTTAGCAGGTAACTTGCCTTATTTACAAGATATAAATCTCACTTTTTAACGAGGTTTTCTTACAAGATATTTGGTTATAGTATGACGATGTAAATATATAATTTAATCAAACTAAGAAACGTCATCAATTGTGTTTCAAACACCAAAACCGATACGAGCTTTGTAGAGCACTTAGCAGGCACTTCTGTAATGGTGGAAATTGATTCGCAATATACACCACAAATACTAAGTTTAACTCTCGCTTACAACCTATAAATGAAGTCATGTCATTTCAAAAAAATACCTGGCCACCTTTAGTTTAGCCTAAGATGGATTTGCTAGACGATTCAAGGAGGTAGCAACAAATCATTTGAGAGAGAGAGAGAGAGAGAGTCTCGCACAAATAGAAAAAAGTGCCGAAATTAGAGTGTAAACTGGAAATGGAAATTTTAAACGAGTCTTAGCTAGTCTCCGCTGATTGTTAGTTACAAGTTATACTAGACCCTATTTGACATTTGCTGGTATATAATTAGAAGGTGATTCAAAAATCTAAAATGCCCTGTGAAAAGGTGTCACCCATTCTTTTTAAGTGATACACCTACTCTTTGTGAAAAGGTGTTATCCAATCTGAAGGGTACATGAAAGGGTAAATACTTATTCCATATGTAGGAATTGATCACTTGAATTTCAACGACTCTTTATCATTTCACTTCCTTCCAAAATCTCGTGTTAGTATTTTCTTGATTCCTAAAAAAATAGTCGAGAGATTTAAGAGTTCTACTGTACTTCTATACAAACGTACATTAGAATATTTTTGAGTGGTTCGCTGTATCTTAGGAGTATTGCACCTAGGTATGTAACGACAAAAATCTACTTTGAAGTCAACACCTCGACCCATTTTTTTCACATCCAAAACTCTAGTCTTATCTTTAGTGATATGGTTGCAGCTTGTTTAAGTGTGCTTCTTATTTGTGCCCCTTCTCTAATATTATTTCAACGACATTAATGTGCCTAGTCATATTTGGATGTGTCATAATTGAAACGATTTTCATTTAATTTGAGTGTACATGATTTGAATACTCGGATATACCTTGCATAAATGGTGAACTGAGCTGAAAATGAGTGACTTCCTTTTTTGTAAGTACGCAATTTAGTGAAAAAGAGTTTCAATGTTTTAGAGACATTTTAATACTTTAGGCATAGAATAACACTTCCAAGTTCTCTGACTCAGCGTATGAAAAGTACTATATATATAAACTCAGCGTATGAAAAGTACTATCAGGTCTGACCATATATATAAACATGAGGACCTCAATTAGCTAGCTAGGGTTTATGTCACCCGGACAAGTATATTGAGGGCGTTAGGGTTCATCCAAATGTTAAGTAGGTGACCAAACTCTACACATTAGATTAGAGGGGTGTCATGAATCATCCAGTGGGGGAGACACCAGACATCACTTCGCAAAAACCAAAAAAAAAAAGAACTTTCTTATATATTTGTTTAATTAATATGGCCCAATTTCTCTTCTTTATTTTTGATTTCAGCTTTCCTTTTTTTTTTCCAGGGTCCAGAAGGCTAAAAGGTGGGGGAGAAGGAAGCCGAACCTCTAATCGACCTAGATACATAAAGAATTCTCGGTGTCTCCCAGTTCGTTAATCAATATAAGATACCCACGGGTTACTTCCTTTCTACACAGGAACGGAACGAGTTGACCAGACCATTCAACATCCGAAGGACTCTTACCGCTAGAACGTAACGACCGATGCCATCCGCTTTCGAGTGAACTGAACTCTTGGACTGGCTGAAAGGGAAAGGAAAAACTGTACAAGGTATTTTTCACTCGTTTATGGACCAGTGTCAAAGGAAAGGATTGTTGCACTCGCTTACTTGAATGAATCGACATTTGTGGATGCTTGTTCATTCGTGATTCTTCTATCTCCCACGATTCTGCTAATTTAGAAACAAAGGAGAAGGATATGGGTCGCTAGGTTAAAAAAGCGAGAACTAAAAAAATTTCCCAAGTAGGATTCAAACCTACGACTAATCGGTTAACAACCGAATCGGACGCTTAACTCCCGCCCCCAACTACGGAGTCACACTTTAACTTTCTGCCTTGACCTAGGCCTCACATCGATCGTTTTGTCCACTGAACTCATCAATCAACCTTGATCTAATGTGCACATACAATATATATATATCAATTAATTAGTACATAAAAACCCTTAGAAAACTTTGTATGTGCTAGCTAATTTGCTTAAATTGCTAGTCTCAAGCCCGGATAAAAGAGGAGAATTACAGTACACCAATAGTATATGTATGACATGCAAGTAAGAATTGAGTTATATTCCAGTAAGATTCTCAATATGTCCCTTTGAATACTCCTGGAACAAGTGTTAGAAAATACAAATACACAACAAATGAGTATGATATAATTGATACAATAATTGTACAATAATATCATATATATATATCAATACAGTTAATAAAAATTAACCAACATGAGTACACATATGTCAACGCAACACACACTAAAAATTTATCATTAACGGCAGTGAAGGAAATTAACCAACACTTCGATAAGTCCACGAGACCACAACAACATACGTTATGCTTCAAATATATTACACTGGCATATATAATGCCCCAAGTATATTACGGCAGCATAAGTATTAATTTATAACGCCTCAAAGCTCTGATACAAAGCCACACCACAATGTAAATTATATATTAAATAATTTTTATATTTTTGTAATAAAATAATATACATATAGCTGGTCAAAAGATCATTGATCTTCCAAGCACACGCTTGTCCAAACACATAGATTAGATAGACAAAATAAATTTTTAAAACTGAACTTTGAAAAGCAAATATCAAAACGTAAAGTCTTACTTATCTAGAATTCATAACTCAAGCACACTTTCCAATAAATCAAAAATATGCCTTCATATCTCCGGATAACCTCCATCTACACAAAAAAAAATATTCAGAATAGTTAAAACAATTAGGTGAACATTCTCTTAAACTCACTGTCAAAGGTTGACGCAAAAATTTAACTTTAGTCAACAGGTCAAAATTCGTAAATTATGATCATCAACGGATTCTATTCGGTGAGAGAATTTCAAATTCAAAATAAAAATTAAATCTTGGTTCAATTTACCATTTCAAATCTAAGATTTTAGCTTTGGTATCTAGGGTTTAGATACACAAACTCGTTACTTTATTTCACAAAAACATGTGAAACTCAAATAAAAATATTGAATCATTACCTTAATTATATTTTATTGAGTGGAACTCTATTTTTTTCCTCTTTTTCTCCCTCCCTTCTTTTCTTTTCATGTGTTTCCTTCTCAATCTGCATTTTCTAGCTTTCATTTTGAAGCTTAGAAAGGGTAGTCTCTAATCCCTTGAGCTCCTAGAATGGGAAAATATGCATCATGAGGAAGAAAAAATATCATAATATATTAAAAATAACAAGTGAATAGGTCTGTCTAAAGGTTTATGACCTCGACCATAAGAACTCTAGTGGTGAAATTAGGAATTGCAAAAGAGTTATTAGAGTTAAAAAAAAAAAAAGAGCGTTATAAGAAGTTACCGAAAATAAAAGAAGCCTTTGATCTGAATAGCATAAGCGATCTAAAAGGGAAGACAAGAAGGATAATAGTAAAGTATTAAAATTTGAGAGAAGCCTTACATAGCTTGTACCAATAGGTAGGGACACGAGAAATGAAAAGAAAGAAAAATATATTCAATTCAACACGACAAAGAGAAGAGGAATAAGGACTTAAACTAGGTGAAGTATATTAAAGACAATCCTTAACAAGTGTTGACAGAATATAACAATGATATTAATGAAAGATTGAAAGGCTATTTTTGATTGTGTATTTTAGATAGTTCACCTTATTACCCTAAATTCATAGCTTGATTCTAGGATGAGAATTCTATTAGAAGTTAACGTGAGTGCCGCTTGTGAGTTCGATAATTGAGTACTTTTCATTTAAACTATATTTGCATCTAATTAGTCCATTTTCCTAGATTACATGTTTGTATTTATTTTAGGGTTGGGTTTGTATACATACAGGTTTGTCTCATGGTGATCAGAATTGTTGGACTCAAAAGTAGTCCTATCATCGTATTGTACATATAGTGAATGGCCTGGCCACGAGGAAGGTTGATAGTGTTTGTGTCACGACCCCAATCCCACCAAGTCGTGTTGGCATCAAACTTAATCTGAACCAACACAAGTACAACTCAAACTAAAGATCATCTTATAAATAATAAAGTGAAAATATGAAAATCAAGCACACTCTTCCCTTAGAACTGGTGTCACCAGTCATGAGTTACTAAGAGTAGATTTACAACATTGATATGAATAAAATGCATCATATGATTGAACATATATAAACAGAAGTAAAAGATCTTAGACTACTATGAACAAATGGCAGCTATTGACTAGAACGTTGGTATATCTTCAATGCTCCCTCTCGACTTGGCAAGAACTCTGCTAGGAATGAAAATGGGGCGGGACGGGGCGGTTGCGGGGCGGGTTCAACCTAAACCCACAATGGCGCAAC